GAGAGAGGGAGAGAGAGAGAGAGAGAGAGAGAGAGAGAGAGAGAGAGAGAGAGAGAGAGAGAGAGAGAGAGAGAGAGAGAGAGAGAGAGAGAGAGAGAGAGAGAGAGAGAGAGAGGTCCCCGTCTTCAAAACAGGGCCGCCTCACTGAAACTTGAGCCGTGTCAGTCGTACGTGCTCCTCTGCGCCATTAGACGCCACTCTTTGTGAATGGTTTATTTGCTCTCCCGGACGATCATCGAGATGCTAACTGCATGAAGCAAGGTTTCCACACTTTCCAATCATTGAAGAATCATTTGAGTTATGTACCGAAAGGCGTACGGTAAGGGTATTTCTTTCACGTCGTTCTTATTCAATGTCAACAGTGTACTTCCTGATTCCGGTCAATAACGTTTCTTACAGAATCAGAAAATAGACATTTCCATCTGAACATTCTTGATTTCACGTTTTCAAGCAGTCATGTACGGCCTCATCTTGTGTATTCCCCCCAGTACTACATCATTCAGACCTGTCACGCGATTCACTGGTTTGCTGGCATTTTACCCTGGCAATACTACGTGTATGATGGTAGGCGCTGTGTAAGGCCAGGCAGTCAGTGCATGTAGAGCAAACGGCTGGGGAATCTGCCCCCAAAACACAAGCAACGGCATGCTCGGCGACCTGATCGTGATGGAGCCCACGGTGGAGAGGTTCTGCAGCAATTCACACCACCCGGTGCACTTACGACATCTGGCAGGGTACCGTTGACGAGGTGCCCGACATCATTGTTCTCCCCTTTTCTTCGTGCGGGTAGGCGAACCAATTGGACATACATGCCGACCAACAACCTGCGCGTACAGACGCGCGGCGCTAGCTCTCAAATTGTATCTCAGTGCAGCAGCAACGCTGGCCTGATTCAGTGTTCGACTTCCCTGTTGTTTCCAGTTCCCAGCCCAAGAAGGCCTACGAAATACACTTTGATCGCAGACATCTGCCAGACGCACACACGCACGACCCCACCGGCACATCTATAAACAAACCTACGCGCGATAGGCCACAGCCGGCCGATTCCACGTCAGTCAATGGAATTCCGCAATTGATCAGTTCCCCGAAGTAGTTGGAGCAGCAAATACGTGGCGCGGTGTTGGTGTGGTTCTGTGGTGCTGGTAGCCTGCCCCTGCTATAGGCATAGAGGCATATTTTCTGATCCTCCAAGCCTCCTCTTGAGATCTGTCTCCAGATCTTCGCTGTTCGCTCAAACCAGGAGCGGTGGAGCCAAACCAGGCTCAAACTTTCTGACTTCTGACTTCTGACTTCTGACCTTCTGACTCTGAGATCTGAGAACCACAGGTTGGTTCAGGAGCGAACTGGTTCTCTGATTTAATTCTACATTCCACCAATCGGCAAATCACCGCTAGTTCCCCGCCACATGCCCTGTGCCCCGATACTTGTTCTAGATTTCTCGATCCTCGAGTCCTCGAGTCTCGTCTGGTCGCAGTCGCTTTTGTTCTCTTCCTGTGCCTGCCTTCTCGTTTTTATGCATGCGCGATAGGACGCGTGTGGTCTGAATACGTAAAGTAGCAAACTAACTTCAACTTGTCATCGATGCAGCTGGACCATGGGAACCACAACGATGATGGTCGAACGGCGACTTGCGTGCGGAGGCCGTCCGAGCCCGGAATGCGGAGGAGTTGCTCAGAATGCGGACGAAGAAAGAAAAGTTGTGATGGCCAACGACCTTGCGGGTAAGACGTGCATCAGGGGTGAATACAAGTAGCAGGGGCCCGGAGACCCGATACGTGAAGTTTCGGGTCGAGGCTCAATCCATTCTGAGACGTGACATTTCAAAATCCTACACGTTCACTTGGTCCAGGGGGTGTGTTATCTTGTGTCACATACGGTAGCGCATTGTTGGACTTCCGCTCAACAAGACACGCAAATTGTCGAGATCAACAGTTGGGCATTGAACAGGCTTTCAGGCCCAACAACGTCCAAGCGTTCTTCTCGACAGGAGCGCCTAGTTTTAATCCGACGGAACATGACCAGCTTCGACTTCAGTCAGGTATTCGGCAAGAAAGCAAGATCGACTTTGAGGTGGAGAAGCCACGGTTCCGTGGAACGGTCCGGAGACGGCACTGGCATCTGACGATTGGCTTCGAAGTATGGTCCAAGTGATATTCAGCTTATCGCAGCGCGCCTATTTTCTGAAACTCGTTTTTTCCCTCAGAAACTTTCAGAAGGGAGGCACCGGGCCAAACCTAGACACCCACAGGCTCCCCAGTCCTGGAGCGCCGGGCAAGAGTTTGAGGTTGAAGTTCTCTCTAATGCATACATAATTACTGAATGGACCAGACGGTTTGAAACGCCGATTGAGTTTCTGCACAACGGGCAGAGGAGGGAGGGGCGAGGAAGGTGAGATAGCATCATCACAGGAGTTGTATTATAGTACATCGCCGAGGACCAAACAGCCAACCACGTGAAACGCAAACGTCTGGCTTACCGCAGTACGCTCCATGCCAGTCGACACAGTAGGGGGTGGAGTCTAATGGTGTATTTGCCTCGAATCTTTAAGGCATCATCAGGTATATCCAGAATACTGTGATGTTCTTCATGTCCTTGAACTCGCTCAGCTTTCGCACAGTCAACAACAAACGTTACACGTCATCTTCAACAAGGAGTCGGAACACTGGTATGTTCGCAAAGTGGTGTGTGTGTGCAGCGTGTAAGCTTGTAAATTGGCACATGGTCATGCTACCTGCCTACATGAAGAATGAAGATGCGCTGCCTGCAGGTCGGAAACTCCTTCTGATGATCCCGTTGCCAGCTTTGCCTGCCTGTTTCGGAAATCGAAGACATATCTCTTTGCAGTTTGAACTACACCTAGCTGAGCATGTGTTCTGTTGAACCATCTGGCATGCTCTCCTTGCTGTTCTCGCGGATCAGGATATGTCTGTCGTCAAGTAGGAGGCCCATCCTACTGCCGTTTGAACCGCAGGCAGCTCGCCCGATGCACTCGAAACCCGTGAGCCTGTTGCTGCCGTTCGTCCTTGCTCGTCGTGAGTGATTGTTCTTTCAATTCGTACAGGGCAACGTATTTCCGCGTCGAATACATTCCCATCAGCATACATCGCTCACTCCTCCACGGTGGTACCGTTTTGCTTGCCTTCTGCCACCGCAATACGTCTGTCATCGCAGGCGTTGTGTAGGGTCAGGCAACCCGTGCTCGTACATAAAACGCCGGTGGCATCTTCCGCAAGCATACCGGGAGCAATCTCTGCCTCGGTCACGCGACCGTAACGGCGCGGACGGTAGAGATCCTGTGCTTCAGTCCTCACCATCCGGCGCACTCGCGACATCTGGCAGGTTACCGTTTAAGAGGTACCGTAGATCACGGCGTTCCCCCTTGCTTTGCGCGTTGCTGTACCACTTGGACATGTCGACGAACCCAACATGAGTACAGACGTGCAGTACTACAGTAATTCTCGAACCATGTCACAGTACATCGGTTGTTAGGCAACCGTTGAGTTGAATCCGTTGAATTGAATTGCCACGAGAAGTGTTGGGTTGTTCATTACATTGGATCCGGAATCAGCCGAATCGGCTTCGGCCGTCCCACTCGGTATCGCCTCATGTGGTGTTTCCACCCGGTCGAGTTGGCGGTCCCCGTGGTGGTCTTTCGTGTCGGAATGCACAACACCTTAACCTCTCACCATCCAGTAATCACCAACCTAGTAGCACCTATTCACAGTGCACTGACCTCACATCGAGCCCAGTTGATTCGGGTTAGGGGTTGGGATAGGGAATGCGTTTGAAACCGGCATGCAAGCTAAAAATAGAAATACGCTTGTCTTGCTGTGTCAACCATTCCCTTTACACCTTGTAGTCGGGCCGTCGCCTGCTGCTTGTGGTTGCATTTTCTGATGCTGTACCGGTAGCGAACAACGGCGAACGTCCGTTACGCAGGTGTTTTCCGGCGACGTCTCTGCAGGAAATCTACCCGTCAGGCTTCTATTCGAGGGTGGTTCAGCCTAGCAGAGCACATGGTCAGGGTTGACGGAGGGTGCCCGTGGCATCCGTCTTCGTTATGTCTCTGTCTGACTTTACATTCAGGTTCAGGTTTAGTGTATCTCCGGCAACCGGTCTCGTCGGAATGCAGGAGAGCGCCTTCCTCAGCGACTTCTTCGGCTGCGTCGGATTTTTCCCGTTAGCCACCCAGAGGTATCGTATCGCATGTGGCACATAGTTTTGATTGGAAGGCATTCGGTTTGGGGAAAAAGCGAGATGGTTACATTGCGCGTGGCATCGTTGGCAGATTGGCCGATTGAAGCAGCGTCTGCACGGCGTGGGCCCGCGGTACTGGTGTGGTGATGGGCGCTCGCGGCTTGCCCCTGCTGCGCCACGCCCCGTTGACCCGTACTACAACATGTGCGGTTGGTTCGTTCGCTGTTATTGCCAGTGAAATTCGCGCGTCGATGGTGAAGATCATGACAACTCTGCAGTCGTCAGCTGTTGGGGGCGACTTTGGCGAACAAGGGCGCTTCGATGCGATCGTACGAGGGGCGGACTGGAGCAAGGCCTCCGAAGGACACCAGATTCCGATGAACCCGTCCAGTTGCACGTTCTGGTGTGCAATTGCCCTGGGGGCACTCGTGAAGGGCCATCCCATCGGATCGGTATGGAGTGGCGTGGGTTGATGAAAACGAGTTTCAGTACCTGGTCGAGGAGCCAGTTACTATCTCCGTTCCTACCTACATGTCGTAGGATTCTTTAACTTGTGGAATATATTTCGTTTACGGAATGTATGTCGTTTACGGAAATGTATTTCGTTTACGGTGCTTGTTGAAAGGTGACCAAGTACTCTCAACTGGCCCACGAAGCCCTGGCCAAGAGCAACTCGGCCCCCGCAGACGTCGAGGTCGCAAAGTGAGTCGATCAGGGATATCCTCTACCAACGTCACCAATGCACGTCTGCCATACGGCCTTCGACCTCGTCTCGCCTCTCTCTAGCTAGTGTTGACGTTCTCGAGACGATCACCGAATTAATGCCATGGGCAGCGCTCCGTTCTACGAGAACATTCACGCTGATTGCCGTGGAGTGGAGCGTTTAACGTCCCCTTCGATATGTCCGTTGGTGGCTGCCCAGGGCGTGGGCGATTCTGGCCTACTTGCACGGCTGGATGGGAGACTTGGTGAGGCTTTACCCCTGGCATGTCGTGGAAGTGTGTGTACATCGCGGTTGACTCACTACATAAATCTAACGTATTATCTGAGCTTTTTTTGCCTCAGCAATTGCCGTTTTAAGTGTATCGGTGCACTCGCCTGGTTGAAGCTCGTTAGAAAGTATTTGCCCCAGCTGGTGTATCTTCCCACAGGTTTCCCCGCTTCGTCCGCTCCACCATGACGTCAATCCTGCAGGCACAGTACCAACAGTACCTGGCTCTTTCGGAGTCGTATGTGAGGAGTTTCAGCAAGCACGGGTCCACCGATGCTCTTCCAGTGGTGAGCGTACGTTTGCGGTCGATGAGGGCGCAAATGTTGACCAAGGTACAAAGAGCGTACCTCCTCTAGCCTATGCCGCTTCTTCTTACATTCGTGCGGCCGATCAATACCCACGACGACGAGCCCGGTGTTGCAAAGCGAAGCGTCAATCCAAGGTGTTCAAAGAATGTACTGGCACGAATGAACGAATGACATTGATTCATTCCGATTTCCTCTCCTCGCCTGATTCTATGGTTTGGGCAGCTGCCGACATCGCTGAAATGTCCACATGTCCCATGCAACCGTGCGCTGACCAGGGGTTCTCCGAGGTTGTCACTTATGCGGAGATTTCTGACTCTTGCTGCGAAGAGAGGCTGATGAAATCGTTTGTCACGGAAGAGGAATCGATATTCCAGGTTTGTGAATCGGATACATGGCAGAGTCTCGGTGACATACGTTGAACCGGTGGTTCGATGTTCTGAATATGCAATTGGGTATGATTCGCTCCAGATTGTACACGGAATAGCATCTTCGCATCATGGGAATAGGCCTTCAGCACGTAGAGTGGCATGCTTGAATGCCGTTGTCTTTCTTTTCTCGCCACTATCACCTCTCTTGCTTCTTGGCCCACACCCGCCCACCTCTTCCGAATACTCGGTGATCGCAGTTGAACGAAGCTGCCACCGAGGGCGAGATATATCAACATGTCGCTCAATCCTTCAAGGCGTTCGAGCAGGCTTCTCACGCAATAGCGAGTGCGCAGATGTGGAAACCACGCGAAACCCAAAGCGAGGCCGAGGGTGATGGCCGATCAGAGAGAGTACGCCCATCCGACAACCCTCTTCTGTGTATGGCGATTTCCAACGCTATGGGTACCGTGCTGCAAAGCGGGCGTTGCCTCGATTTCGAGCCGCTTGAAGCAACGGTAGATCGGTGAGTGGAATGAAGATACCCGTGAGGAATCCAAAGGTGGTATGACACCACGGTTGGATCACGGTGGGACTAAAGGTTTCCACCGAGATCATGGTGGCCTAAGGGTGGACATCAGGAGCCATCGAGGCGCGACTATTGAAATGCTTGACCTGGACAGTCAGGAAACCTAGTCTGGACAGTCAGGAAACCTGTTCTCCTTGTGTATTGTTTCACTTTCTTCCCATTCGTCCGATGTTGTACGTTTCACTTCGCAATCGGCCTGTATGTCGACGTATGGGATGCGGTCGCTCCGGCGAGCAGGCCAAGTTTTGGCGAGGGTGTCGGCAGCCTCTTCATCAACGTGTGAGTTGGGGTGTGTTGAAGTCGTCGAATGCATGTGCCTATCCGACACCATGCTTTCCGAGAGAGCCCCAACGAACTGTAGTTGTCGACAGGGGGTGTTGCAGTCCTGCTGCTTGGGCTCAGTGGGTTGATGGTATGTGTCCATACCATCAATGTAAGCCTGAGATGTCATGCTATGAGCATGGCACTTCGCGGTAGCAACTGCCGATCTAACGCACCGCTGCTGTTCCCCTGTTGCTTAGGCTTCTCACTCGGTATGCTTTCACGCTCTCATTCTTTTTCCCGGGAACCTCGAGTACAACAGGGCCCTCGCCGTTGTAAAGGGAGTAAAAGGCGACCTGCAAGCCTCCATGGAGAGACTTCGCCGCTGCGTGGAGGTTTATGAGCGGTATCCTGGCTTGTGCCGTGGCACAATGGGGTGAGTCGCGTGTGCGACCTCGGCACAAGCAGAGGTTATGCAACTGTGGTTCACGTGGGGGGACGCACAGCGTTCGCTGCGTCATCTTGCCCCATGCACTTGACGATTGTAAACCTGTCGATGATGCCTGATCATGTGCGCGGTGCTTACTCCGCGACGAAAAAACGTGCATTCTTGGTTTGTACATTTCCGTTCATGGATGCTACCGTTGAAGAGACGCATAGATTGTTTCTCGCATATCGTGAGAAACGCTGTGTCACCTATACCTGTTCTGTGTTGTGATGTTTCCTTGCCTGGGGCTTGTAGTATTCCGATCAGTTGGCCTTTTGTTAAAAATCGTTGGGCTGTTCGTGCCGGCACTCGTCAACAACGGCAGTGGCATCAGTTGGGCCCGTCGTGTTGCATGGTCACCCCCAATTTTTCTACACTCGTGGGTGTCCCAGGGTGCTTACTTCGTGTCGTATAGTGAAGCCCACGGAAACCTCGCTGGCCGTTGGGGTGCATGAAAGTGTACGAAACAGAGCGCGCGCTAGGCGTTGACATCTGTGAAAATCTTTCTGACGTCTCCAGGTCGTGCGGAGTTGAGTTGGATTGGTCGAGGAAAGCACAGGACTCGCCAATGAAATTCACGCCTTCGTGGACGTGCGATGATAATGTTTTTCATTCGTACAGTAAATAGTGGTGTGGGCGCATGATAAATTATGTATGCGGCTAGTTTGACCACCCAAGCGGAGCACGGCAGCAAAATTTCATGGGTACGAGAAGCCTTACTGCAGCACAGTATGTTTGGTTGGCGGTAGAAACCATTGTCGTGGTGTATCTAATAGCGGTATCCACGAAGTGACATTTTTGATTGCCTTCTCCTGCCGTGCCTCCCGCTGCCGGCGTGTCCATGAAAGGCACCACAAGGCACACTTTGTACTCATTTGTCTCGCAGCCGTAAAGGACTCCAGGGCTCGAGCGATGTACGAGAGGTTGCGGTCGTTCTACAACTCATTCCGCCCAGCTGACACTCTGCCTGTACCACCGTTTGACGAGTGGCATGGAGTGGGAACCTTCTGCGACTATTTCTACTGCAGGTACGTACTGCAGTTGAGCTTGCCGATCGCAGATCGGGTAGAATCCACTGTGTGGGAAAACCGACATGTAGCACGCCTTCCCTAGCATTGCTTCGGGGAGGAAGGCTTTTCCGGCGCTGGGTGGAAGCAAAATCACGGAATTTGTCAACATCGGGCTCAAAGCTGCACGCACTAGAGCTCACAGCGAACCCGGACGACGTGGAATTTTTCAGTATCCTCCCCTCGATACAAACACTCGCTTGGTAGGGCGGTCGAGGGCCTCGTTGCCAGTGAGCACATGAAGGACTTCTCGGGGCCACCAGTCGACAGAAACGACATCGGTGATAGAATGAACGGCACCGATCGTGACGAAGGCGAGGCGGCTCCCCTCTGTGACGTGAACACGCGACATGAAAGGCGGTCGGCCGGCTACATCTCTCAGAATATAATCGACACAGACTCCGATTGGCCATCTGAGAGCGGGACCGACGGTGTTACAGGCTCAAGTGTAATAGCGTCGACACCTCCTGCTTCTCCAGTATTCTTTCACTACCCATGCTATCAGTCGGAGGCACGCGTTCACTCCAACCGCTTCGAAAGCAATGCCATGGTCGTCGCTCCCGAGTCATTGTCGAGGTCGCTAAAGATGGGTGACAGGGGTGGGGTGATGGAGGATACGGAGGACGAATGCATTGGTGCTGGGAATTGGTTGGATGTGACCCATGCCATGTTAGATGCACTCTGAATCGGGTGACAAGAAACCCCTCGCGGAGGCCAACGTGGCTTTCAAATGCTGCATGTGGCACGCCGAGAAGCGCTTTTCTCTGCTTGTTTTTCGTTTGAGCGTCTCTATTGAATATTTCGAGGTTATCCGTGCAATGTCGGCACGTCCTTTGCAGTTGGAAGTGTTATCACAAGAGCCGACGATTTCGAGGTTGCCCGTTTCTTGATCGTCGCTTCTCCACGTTCGTGTGCATTTCTCGAACGATGTTGTACCGGCATTGTACGTGCCCAGGCGCACCAGTACGGTGGTTTTGCACCCCTCGGGGTTATGGCACCGGGGTGAGCAAGAACACCTTGGACGGTGTGGTATAATACAATGTAAAACCCGCCGCTTCGGGCGCAAGGTTGTCTGCAATCGCGATTGTCTCCGGGCAGTTCATTAAGCTGATGTCGTTTGTGCAGTTGCTACAGTCAATGCAGCCAAGACATCATCGGATCGACACTCCCGGAGTGTATGGCGTTGTCACGATGCACCCGGAGGAACGAGGCCTTTTGTCCCAAATGGCACCGCGGCTTGCTTCGGGCAGCCGTGCTGGTCGTCTATGAGGTTGTCGTTTCCTTTGTTGGCCGTCTCTCGCTTCCACCCGGCGTTTCAAACGCGGACGTTCTGTTGAACTCAACGTTAGTTATTTCTCGAGGGATCCTTGGTATCTTATTCTCTCGCTTCCACCCGGCGTTTCAAACGCGGACGTTCTGTTGAACTCAACGTTGGATATTTCTCGAGGGATCCTGGGTATCTTGTTCTCTCGCTTCCACCCGGCGTTTCAAACGCGGACGTTCTGTTGAACTCAACGTTGGCTATTTCTCGAGGGATCATTGGTATCTTGTTGAAGGTGGTGGAGAGCACAGGCGAGATGAAGTTTCGCACACAACCAATCAATGCTGAACAAGCAAGCGCAGCATCATCCCGACATACACACACGGTGTTCATTTTCTCGCTCGCTAGATCACCCCTCCTGGTGGAACTTGCAAGTATGGACCTCCATCGACAGCGCTATGCAACGAGCTCTTCCGCCTTCGCCATCACATCTTCCTGACTGTAGTACGCAGCACGTGCGACACATGCATCCATGCCCCACATTGCCAGGTTCTCCCTCGAGCTTCTGTGGCGTCGGACCCCCACACCCAACAATATCCGCATGTTTTTTTTTCTTCGGGACTCCACGCCTCACGCTCACCCTTAACCCCCCGCCGATTCGTCGTATTGGTCAGCATGACGTTTAAAGTCTCACTTGCTTGGGGTAATTCATTCTCTTTTCTGTCGTGCCCGACCACGAACCCCTTTGCACAGTTTTTGCTGTTCACACCAACCAACCGTCATGTACAAAAAAAATATACAACCTTGGAACTGCAGAATGTGTTATTCATACTACAACGCTCACCGATTTTCCCACGATGTCCGTTGAAAAACATAAAAAATATCTCATGCCTGCCGCGTTTACGTATTGGTTGCATCTTTCACACAACAACCAATCAACATATGTCAGTGTGGAAAAGTGCAAGCCACGCGTGCATATATTGTCGTTCCATCCTTAACAGCGACGGTATTGTCAAGAAGGAAACGGTAAGTATAGACGGACAACCATCGACAAATAACACAATCTGATGTAGAGAGTACAGACGAGAAAAAATGATTCGCATACATACGCATGCCACAACAATCAATCGGTGCTGCGTACCAAATTACGCGCGTTATTGTATTTTTGCACCCTACACCGCAGCGTTTGATCGTTCGATGTCACACGCATCATGCTGGTACCTTGGGGGGCTCGCTATAGTGCCGGTGCCCGGTGTAGTGCCGGTGTTTCGGCTCACACAAATTGAAAGAGTCGTTATGTAGATTCTCGACAACGTTGACTTTTTGTCTAGACTAGATCGCGAAATATTCGACCATGAAACTTTTTGAGAGCTATGTACGTAAGTGTACGAAATTTACGAGAAACGGTATAGTCGTCAAAGAAGCACCCTTCGTTCAACACGCGTGTCTAGTGCATCTGGAATGATATGAACAAGCACAGTAAAACACGCCGTCGAGAGTTGTCCGTGGAGACAGGCCTTGCAGCCATCGATGTATTCCGGAATAGGCACCCCGTTCTCGAGGAACCTTGTATCTGAATGATGATGAGACCATGGTCATCGAATGACCTGAGTGTAGACGCTTGCGAGAGACGCGATACTTCCAGCGAATACTGAAACTGGTCGAGCAAAAAGCACAAAAGAAAACCTTGGTAATTTCCACACGGATCTGGGTGAATTCAAAAGGACCCTGTAGAACGATTTTCATGCCCCCTAACGCAAGGCACGTGGCTGGAACAGCTCCCATCATTACTCTGAAAAATGGTTGTACCGAGTATCTTGTCCGGCCCGGCCGGTGTTTGACCCCACTACTACTGTTGCTCGTGC